TGTGTGTGTGTGTGTGTGTGTGTGTGTGTGTGTGTGTGTGTGTGTGTGTTAGCGTTAAAGGTCAACTGATGCGTATTTAAACTTGGGTTCTGGAAGTCGGGGCTCACAGCATGTATAACTGTTTAGGAAATGAGATCAGTCAGGTGGAAGGGCTGGACAACCTGGTCGTCCTGCAGGAGCTGGTGATCGACCATAACCGCATCCGAGCGTTTACGGACAGTGCTTTCGCCAAGCCAAGTGCCCTGCTGACCCTTCATCTAGAGGAAAACCGGCTCCGCGAGCTGGGCAAGCTGCAGCCGCTGGCGAAACTGGAGAAACTCTTCCTGGGCTACAACAAAATCCAGGTAATTTTATCTGAGGCTGTTATCGCTTTTGAGGTCTTACACGCTTGGGGTCCTCTATGACCTGAACATAAAGCTCCCAAACACATCAGTTAGAGCACGGTATATATACATATATGTATATATGTGAGTGCCGCTTACCCACTCTCTATCAGGCACATCACAAGGCGTGTACTGTATGTACTCTTTTAAGGTACAGCACCAACTGGGCTCTCTTAGCGTGTCTCCTGAGGTGGTACGTAGGTACGAGCGAGGGTGGATACAACCTGACAGAGCTTGTGCTTGTGTCCGCATTTTGCTAATGACCTAGAAACCTACTCTTACCAATGTTGCTTCCGCCATCCATTCTTACAATCCTCCTGCAAGAGCAGGACAGGTGTCCATCTTATCCATAGTTATATTAGGATATCACACCGTACATGGTAGACACTAGACAGGTATACAACCGAGGCTCTATTTGCTACAATTCATAGTCTTTTCTGTGATGATAGAAAATCTCTTTCCAAAGTTAGAAGGCAATCATGAGTAATATCCCTTCTAACTTAACAAGTAGGAGACATACATACGGAGGAAAAAATAGCATGTACATGACTTAGCAAGATTCAGGCCCCAGTCTGAGGAAAGCCTAGCCAAACGGACAGTGATCTTTCCAAAACTTGACTCAATTGGAAAAATGGGTATCCCACAGGGCCATGTTTCTTGCAACTGTAAGTGAGCTTAATCAGTGAGACCTAGAGCTGGGGGAGGGGCTGTGTGATGGAGAATGTGGCCAGCGTGCCCAAAGCCTGAGTATAAACCAGCTCAGTAAAAACAAATAAAACCTCCATACATTCATCAATGACCGTATCTGGTATCAAGGTTTGTTTACCATTCCAATAACTAATATTTGAGGTCTTGGACATTTCATGGGTTCCTTGGTTACCTTCTTTCCACAGCACATGGGCTTATCTAGCTCAAGAAAGATTTTGTAGAGTGCTCTCAGAACAGGGGAGTGGTTCCTGAGACATTTCCATTCTATGCGTAAGCCTGTGCTGCATCCTTTTAGAGGCCATGCCTTGTAATTCCATAGATTCCGGGTGAACTGAAAGCAGTTTTTATCCAGACAGATCTGTTAAGAGATTGCCATAGGTAAGGACCTTCCTAGAAAAATGTCATTTCTGTTTGCCAGGTCTCCTAGGAGAGGCATAGTCCTAGTAGTAGGTGCTTAGACGGAGAAACCAGCTTTCCCCCAGGATGTCCTTGCCCACCGGTCAACACCTTAGTCCTTAGAGAGGATGGAGGGGCCGGTAGATCAGCTTGGTATGACAGCGGTCTCCTCATCAACATGAACAGAGTCATGTTTACGGGGGGTTTACTATCAAACCTGAACACAGCTATATAAGAACCTTTGTGACAACTCAAAGATCTTGCATTCATCATCAAAAACATGACTGAGTTGTGTCGGCTGTTAAATGGCTTTAGCCTTTTATTCTTGTCCTTGAAACGGTACTCTTCATCGGGTTAGATGGATTGTCTTACCGATGAACTCAGGCCGGCTGCTGATGCTACTGTACCTTAGTGTGACCACATACAGAAACTCTGGGGATTAAAAGTGAGTTTGAATTCTTCTAAAAACCATGTTCTTTCAAAACCTCAGCTGTCCATTCAGAATTTTCTGTCAGGGAGAGATTTTAGTCTCTGGATTCATATCAACTTGGGCAATCTGATGGCAAGATTAATTCTACAAGTGAAAATAGAACCTCTGGGTTAGCCAAGAACAATAAGATGAGAGAAAATTATTAAAAATTAGCAAAACACTAGTACTTCAGATCAAGGTAGATGCGGCCTCTGACTGACCCACCGTGGTGCAGCCCCTTCGACATCCCCAATGTATCCATTAATGTGGACTGAGAAAAAGGTGGCCCTATTGCCTGGCTGCTAAGAATCACTGTAAAACAGTGATTTCAGCTTATCCCCATGGCGAGGTGATTCTTCTGTCCAACATTCAGATTCTCCATGTACTTCTCCATGTAACATCTGAACACACAATGAAGGCAAAACACATACGGATTAAACACAAATAAATATTTTTCGAAATTTTGCAAAAACTACAATATCGAAAACTTAAACTGATGCTAAGTGGATAATAATAAATAGCCCCATGCAGGGTGAAGAGCAGAACATATAACCAGAAAAATCATTTTTATCCGTCTTTCCCAGCTAGTGGAACAGAGCATAGTCAACATTGTTCCTCTGTTATTAAGGTTATCGTCTAAGTCTTAGGGTGGCTCAGAACTCTTCTAGAAAAGGTTTGCTGTTGCCTTGCAAGTTCTGCTCATTGCCGTGACAGTGTTATCTTTGTGAGTCATGTAGTAGGAGTCCACAGTCTTCACTCAGGTTCGCCTTAGATCCAATTGTGAGCTACCTGAAATCGAACACTTGCATAAAATGACTTTGGAGTAGTTTATGCTGGGAAATGTTAGCTAACCAAATGATTATCCATTACCTTTTACATAGGAAATGTCAGAACTGGAAAAGCTTGATGGTATCCCTTCTCTCAGAGAGCTTACTATTTATGGTAACCCGGTGAGTATTTATTTACCTTTATAACTTACTAATTTCCCAATAGTCATATGCAATTTACTTTCTATGCTATAAGAAAGGGATTCGACTTTTCTATTTCTACATACATTGCTAATTAAGCCAGCACAATTGTTGGCTTAGTGGTGCAAACCATCACTACCAAATGTAAGCATGTGTGTTTCACATTCCGCATTGTGCCCTTTGGCTTACCTGTTTATTGCTGTGCCAATAATATTAGACTGTGTTAACTTGCAACATTTTATATTGTCTTAATCCTTGTTAGAGCAAGTGTTTCTCCTTATTGTCCTCTTCATCTCTTCTTTCTACTTCGCTTTCCTCACTGTCTTTGCTATTCTTGGCACCTTACACTTTCCTGTGACTTTTAGGAAGCAAATTAAGTTGAAGAAGAATCCTGTTGGTGTTTTAATTAAAATTGCATTTATTTTAAGTTAATTTGGGAGTCATTTGACACTTTTCTTATTGGAGTCTTTGAAAGGATCCAAAAATACAGCACCCATTGCCCACTTAATATCTAAGCAAACTGAAAAACATGATAATGGAGAGAAGGCCCTCTGTTTAGTGAGCTGAGTGTCCAGGGAAGTCCAGCATAAAAGAACTGACAACAGAAGATGGAAGACTGGAAAGGCCATGAGGCAGACAGGTCCACAACTTCACAGAAACATGCCAAGGGCAACAAGACCTGTGAGTCAGAGAGCGAGGGTCATATGATGGTAGGACCGAGGGTCTTTCATCTAAGCCAGAACAGTTCGCTTCAAGCTAATAACCGAAGAGGTCAGGTTCATGGCCTGGTGGTGGCGGCATTCAGCTGGAAAGCCTCAGATGTTGCTCTCAAGGTTTTGTTCATGTATAGTGCTGAGCAACGGGTCAGGACTGCTTGGGAACTGTTGCTTGGGTTACAACACAGGGTGACAGGGATCGGGTCACCCTGGATGTCTACCTTGAAAATGCCAAGTAGGCATGCTGGTAGATTAGAGAAATATGCAATGCAATTACAAAGGGCCAGGAAACTCATTTGGGTTTCCCTTTGGGAGGGAATGCAGGGAGGTATCTTGGAAGAGTTGAACACTCCCCCATTTATGACCTTATTTCTAGGAAGGAAGGCAAGAGCCAGGCATGTACTTGCTCGCCCGAGTAGAGAGAGGCAGAGAAGTCGGGGTGGCCATAGTGCTAGGTGGCAGTGGTTTGGGTCTTCCATCAAGAAGAACATGGCGATAAGCAGTCCTCCATAACTTGTCATGTTCATCATTTCTACTCAGAAATACTTATCTTTTATTCCCTTCAGTCAAAATTTGGAAATTTCTTGACATTGGGAAGGTTCTCAATGAGCTGTAGATGGCAGGAACAATAAACTATTATGCTGCTGAACAAGGTGATAACTACAGACAATGACTGGTTACTGTGTGTCTCAAAAAGCAAGAAAAAAGTAATATTTTTTCCATAAACAGTGATAAATGGAGGTGTCTTCACCTGATTAAATAAAGTACACATTTATCCAAATGTATGGTTACTATGTCACATAGTACTCATTAGTATGTATAATTACCATTTCTATGTCTATTTTAGAAATTAATATAAAACATTAGAGATATTAGATATTACTTTTATACAGAAAAAGATTTCTAATTGTCCATAAAGATTTAAATCATCTTTGATAAGTCCTATTCTGTTGTTTTAAATAATTTCTTTTTTATGTTCTTTTGATCATTTATTGTAGGAGTAAAGAAATAACAGCTTTTGTATAGTTTTCTTTTTCTAGGCAGCTTACCAAGCCCTGTTTTCTAATGGTTTGCAAAATCTTTTGTATTTTTTTTGTATACTATCATGCTATCTATAAATAATACCTAGTATTTTTAATCTACACACACTTACTTCTTATGCTTCTCTTAGTGTGTTGATTAACACTTCTCATGCAGTGTTGAATAGAATAGATTACTCAATAGTAATCTAATGATTTCAAAAGAGTACATCCAAGTTATCTCTAAGAGATGATGTTTGCAATGAATTGTGGGACAGTAACTCCCAATAGTTTGAGGAAGTACCTTGCCAGTCCCAGATGGATGTTTAAACCGAATAGACATTGGGTTTTGACTGATGGAAAATATAGCCTTTTTTCTAATTTGTTGGTATAGTAAATCACATTGACAGACTCAGTAGAGTAAAACTATCCCTAACTTCCTGGTGTGAATATTATTTGTTTCTGTTTTATGTTTTACTGAATTCAGTCTGATAATATTTAATATAGCATATCTGCATCTGCAGATTAAAAACATAACTCTATCTTTTCATACAGTATAGCATAAGATAGTATATCTTCATCTGCAGATAAAAAATATAATTCTATCTTCTCATACAGTACCCTTAAATCTGGCACAATGTCTTGTTGTCAAAGGTTAAAGTTTCATATTGATTTATCTTTTAGTTAAACAGTGGTTATTCCTAATCCAGCTGCACACCCAAATCACCACACAGAGCCTAGGATTTATTTAATTTACCTAGAGCACAATGCTGGGCAATAGTTACTCCATCCTAAACCTCCAGCCCCTCATAGTTTCCTCCCATTCAGATTTCCCACATTATACTTGCATTTAGTCATATCTTAGGTCCGGTTCATCTCTCCTCGTGGTTCCAAGTTCTCTCCTGCCAATCTCTGATCCCCTTCTTCCCCCTACCCCTGACTCTCCTACTCACTTCTCTCTCCTCCTTTCAGGACCAGGATGTCCCACCCTATTATTTCCATTGCTCAGCATTGGCTGGTTGTTTTATTGAAGTGAGCTATCCCAGAAGCAGAAAGACACACACAGTACATACTGACTGATATAGACACATAATATAGGATAAACCTACTAAAATCTGTACACCTAAAGAAACTAATCAAGAGGGAGGACTCTGGCTAAAATGCTCAATCCCCATCCAGAAAGGCAAAGAAGATGAACATCAGAAGGAGAAAACAGGAAACAAGTCAGGAGCCTGCCACAGAGGGCCTCTGAAAGGCTCTGCCCTCCAGACTATCAAAGCAGATATTGAGACTTATGGCCAACCTTTGAGCAGAATGCAGGGAATCTTATGAAAGAAGTGGGAAATAGTAAGATCTGGAGAGGACAGAAGCTCCACAAGGAGAGCAACGGAACCAAAAAATCTGAGCACAGGGGTCTTCCCTGAGACTGCTATTCCAACAAAGTAGCATGCATGAAGATAACCTAGAACCCCTGCACAGATGTAGCCCATGGCAATTCAGTCTCCAAGTGGGTTTCCTAGTAAGGGGAACAGGGACTGTCTCTGACATGAACTGATTGGCCTGCTCTTTGATCACCTTCCCCTGAGGGGAGCAGCCTTACCAGGCCACAGAGGAAGACAATGCAGCCACTCCTGATGAGACCTAACAGACTAGGATCAGAAGGAAGGAAAAGAAGACCTCCCCTATTAGTGGACTTGGGGAGGGGCATGCGTGGAGAAGGAGGAAGAGAGGGAATGGGAGGGGAGGAGGGAGGGAGCTACAGGGGGAATACAAAGTGAATAAAGTGTAATTAATAAAAATATTTTTAAAATATCATGACAAACCAAAAAAAGAAAAAAGAAAGAAAGAAAAAAGAAAAGAAAATACAGAGAACAAACAAATGGTGGCATGTTTATACAAACTTGAGACAGGTGATGCTTAGAATAAACATCACAATGAAACGTCCGGATTAAAACCAGATAGTGGGGTAGAGAAATCAGATTTGAATGAACAAGGGTAAATTGTATACATTCCACAAGAACATTATACCAACAACGTCTTTTACTTTTTAAGACTAATTTGGGAGTATTCCTTCTCTTCCTACTCTATAGATTAGCTTAAAGACTCATATGGTCCTTGAAAACTAATGAGACCTTATCTCTAAACCCCTATGGCCTATTTTATAAGCTAAACTTTAACTTGCTTACTCAAATTCCTTCATGAATATAAATCCCATCATATTTTTTACTTCCTCGGAAACATTTTGAGAAGCCATTTTTTCCTAATCTTCTTTTATCTAATCTCTTACTGTATCACTATCATGCTCAGAATGTTCTTTCTATTCTCCATTATATCTCTATTTGTCACCCCTCCATGTCTAAGAGTGTCGATTTTGCTTTTGTGTTTTATCCTTGATAAATCTTGCTGGAGCCTTGTTTATAGTGCTTCTCTAGAGCACCATAATTTTCTTCATCAAGGGCATTGATTTTTATTTCATCAACACATATTCTTTATCATTTCCTCCTTTTAGTTCCTTACAAGTTTTCAAAGAAATTCTTTGTTGTGTGATGTCTCCCTCCATCCTTCAATCCCTCCATCCATTTATTTGCATTTTTATTTTATGTGTGTGGCTGTTTCGACTACATGTATGTTTGTGCACTATGGCCAGAAGAGGGCAGCAGATCCCCTGAGAATGGAGTTACAAATGGTTATACGCTACCATGTGGGTGCTGGGACTAGAACCTGAGGTGGTCTGGAATGGCAGCCAGTGCTCTTAACTGATAAGACAGATCTCCAGCCTCTTCCACTTCTTTTGAGACTGGCTGTCTCAAAGAAATGCTTAATTTTTATATTTCTTAATCTTAATCTTTTAAGCTTAATATTAATTAACATTTTGGAATCAATAAATTCTAGGTTATATTGTACTGCTCTCACAATGTCCTGAAAGTTTTTACATGGGTTGCTTTTATTAATCTTCATGTCTTAGAATGTTTCACTCTTCAAAGGATTTTGTTTTCATTTGTAAATTATTGAGGACTGCACATACATTTTTATTCATTTTAAATCTACGGTGTGGTTTTTATTGTGTCCTCATCATTTTCCTCCAGTGCTGGAGCATTTTAATCAGAGAAAGGAAGCAGACTCTACGTTGTTTGCTGTTTAAGAAAATTGTTTTGTAACCTAGAATGTGGTCAGTGATTTCTTTGGCTGTTATATGTGTTAAGGTCTTTCTTCATCACTAGACATGCCCCTACCATATTTATTTCAGAAAGTTTGCTTATTTTTATTTTTCTTTCTTTCTTTTTTTTTTTTTTTTTTTTTAAATTTCAGCCTGCTCTGGGACTCACTATATAAACCAGGCTGGCCTATAACTCATAGCAATCTTCCTTCTTTAACCTCCAGAGTTCTGGTATTATAGGTGTGAGCCACCAGGCCCAACTTGCTCATTTGTCTCCTAGAGTTTGTTGCTCTTTGCCTTACCGATAGTGCTGTATAGTTTCTATATTAGGAGTCCCCAAGATTCAGAGATTTGCTAGAGAGGCGCAGTCAGCATAATGTTTTCCTGTGGCTAAGATTAATTTCAATGGCATAGTAAGGATACGCAGTCACAGGCTATGAGGGAGAGAAAGGTATAGTCTGGAGGAATCTGTATGCATGCTTCCTCATGTTTTCTCCCCCATGGCAGGAACACAGGGCACACTCTTCATTTGGCCACAAAAATGGCACCTCTTTTGTGTTGTTTTTTTTTAGTCAAGGAAGTATGCATGTCGCTTTAATCTCCTCAAATGTTGGGAAATGTGACAAGAGCCTTACCCAAGCTTTATGAATACATGGCTTGGGCTGAGCCCAGAGTGTTTCTATCTCTGTTCTAACTATCGTTAGGCCTAGGCCTGGAAACTTCTGGCTTCCATACAGTCTAATCTTCTGCAAGCCCAGACCTTGAAGACCTCAGCTTCCAGCCTCAGTCTGCTAACTTGGGCATTACTGCTGAATAAGCTCACCCTTTCTAGTTCTTTCTGAACCCTGCCTGGCTGGTTCAACTCAGCTGCTCTGGCTCAAAACTCCTCTCCAAGCTGATTAATTCAAACAGGCTTCTTTCAACTTCTCCCTGAATTGCTCTGCTTGGAAAAACTGCCTCTGAACTCCACGAACTGAATGGAACTGCACAAACTCAACTGAACTTACTTGCACTTAATTGAACGGCACCAAACTGAACTGTACAGCCAAACCCTACTGTGCTGTACACCCAAACTCTACTGTACTGTCTCCACAAACTTCCCTCTACTCTGTCTGCACTGCTTTTAAGTAACTTTTCATTCCTGTCTGTTCTCATGAGAGTTGGGCATATCTTATCTCTGACTCATTCTGTCAAAAGTCTTTCTCTGATTCATCACTTTGTCTGTCCTTAAATTAGACATCATTGTTTGGGATGAAAAGATGTGTACTAACTTCTAGTCAGAGGAAGTGAGGGTGTATATTCCAGCCAGAGTGACTAAAGGTGTTTACTCTGGGCGTGTCTGTATTGCAGCCAGATCATGCAAACTTGACAGAGCAGCCATGTTGCTGGATTGAAATTCCTCTCCGAGAGAACCCCTCCAAGACTTAGCACTCAAAAAGTTGGAAGTCGATTACACAGCCACCCTTTCCTAATCAGGAACTGAAATTAGAAATTCCAGGTGGAAAAGACATTGATTATAAATCCTACTGATTTTTAATAATTATCAAGATGTAGTCAACTACCTTTATCAACCAAGGAATGATAAGAACATTCCCAAGTGCCAAACACCAGGAAAGTATCATCCTTTCAAGCCAGACCTTATGAAAGTCGACACCCTTAGGCCTCTCTAGTTGTCTTCCTTCCCACTTTTTAATGCACATACACAAACATTTTTAGAGCAGGTTAACAAATATGAAGAGATGGATCATACAGACCAGAAAATGTTGAATTAAAGTAAATAGGGCATTTTGGAAACTCTCACATAAACTAGCTACATATAAATGAACTTTCATATCATTCTACCCACGAGTTGAGATTTTTGCCAGCTACCGGGCAACGCTATGGTGGCACACACCTGTGATTCCAGCCCTGAGGAGGCTGAGGAAAGAGGATTATTTGTTCAGACCATACTCAGATACATGGAAATGGAGGAAAGACAAAAAGAAGGGAGAGAAGCGAATGAAAAAAGAAAAGGAAAAGGAAGGGAAAAGCAAAAGAGAAAGACTAAAGCTCTGAATGCTAGCCTCAGTTTTAAAATATGTCCCATTTTTATTTCACATTATAGAAGACTGAGAAAAGGTTTCCGCCTGTGGCAGCCAGTATTATAAAGTAGCTGCTGTGCATCGTCTCTGTGTCGTTCCCAAACTGTCTTCTTTTGAAGGTTTTTTTTTTTATAATGACAGTGATTTTGGGAATAAACTATTATTTTTACCTTTCTTTAGATTTGTAGAAAAATGGTGCATCGTCATGTGCTCATATTCCGCCTGCCTAATTTACATATGTTGGATGGGATTCCTGTAAATTCTGAGGATAGGGCAAAGGCTGAGTTTCATTTCTCTGAACTACAAGCAAGGAGAAATCTAGTAAGTGTACTGTTTGCACTTTTCTTTTTATTGTAGATTATTACAAATGAGCATTAAGCCATATACACCTTGACTTAAATGTTTATGCGCAGATTGTTTTGTAAATTGTAGTATTTACATGGTGACAACTACCAAAGAAGCTCTTTTTCTTAATAGTACATTGATATAAGGCAAATTATTTAACATTTGTTTGTTCAGTACTTCAGATAATGCTAGAAGGGAAGAAACTTAGACATGCCATTTTTTATAAATTCTAATCATAGAATTGCTTTGATTTTGGCAGAGAGGAAGGAGGGGAATTTTCATCTCAACTTTCTGGACTGCATAGTTTGTGTAACAGGATGTATGCTGCCATTCTTAGAGATTTGCAGGGTTGCTGCGCTCTTTACCCAGGAGCCATAAAATGTACCTGACCATGATATGAACAAAATCATAGAGTGAAGAAATAGCAGAAACAGGCTTTTAGAAATTTTATCACTAACCACTTTTGTTTCTTCACGATCATCCTCTAAAAGCTACATTTAACATGGAAAGACAATGGCTTTAACAGAAATGGAGAATTATTGGAGTTGAGCCTTTGGGAAGTTTGAAGAGATGGGAGTAGAGAGGGAAGCCAGTTGAAACTTTCAAGGTAATCCAGGAGATGCTGCAAAGACCTGGAGCAGCAGGGAGGGGGGGCGTACTTGAACCTTTAACAAAACCAGGAGCCAAAAATCCAAGGACATTAGTGGTAAGAATCCAGGATCATGTAAGAACAGGATTTTCACGGCAGGCAGATCACTGAGCTTGAAGCCAACCTGGTGTACAAGTGAGTTCCAGGATAGCCAGGGCCACACAGAGAAACCCTGTCTTGATCAACAAAAGAAAACAAAACAAAAAACAGCATCTTGAAGGAAAAACAGGTGAGGTTGCTCCAGACAGATGCCTTCCTACTGGGCTTTCGCTCATGCTGATGAACAGGCTCTGACCAGGCCCCTCATAAAACACGTAGTACTCATGGTCCCGGTCAGCTTTTCTTGCTTTACTTCTCTCTTCAGCAACACAGTCACAATATTCATGCAGAGATGGCTCTGTTTCCTCAAAAACTTCCTTCTGGTTTGTCAACAGATGAAACATAAATTCAAATTTTAAATTATGATTTCTATGTTAGCAGCATGAAAACCAAACTCAATACTTTAGAAAGTCTGGATAAAGAGTAATCACATACACAATGTCACACGGGATGTGGAATTAAAAACCTATAACATAAAGGAGAAAAGATACAAATTTAGAGAAACCATATATGAAAACTAATTTTTTTTTAATCTAGACAACTTATTGTCTCTAAATTTCCTTCATATCTTTAAATGGATGCTGTTTCAAAGAAACCAGCGGAAGGAAATGTAGGTAAAATCTTAAGGAATAGTCAGATAAAATATCAGTCAGAGACCCGTGCTTAGCAATGGCCTTGAGCGGGCACGGCAGCCCACACACCGTGCGTAGCACTTGGACGACAGGAAGATCAGAAGTTCAGTGTCATCCTTGGTAGGGGATATCTGAGCTCTTGCCTCAAAAGGGGTAAGGGGTAGGGGCGAGGGGGGTCTTTATCAAATACATGCAATTTGAAATTCTGTGAAAAGGTAAATATGCTATATTTGCATTTTTGCTCTTTTCTGTGATGGTGAAGGGCAAACATAGGTCACACTGGGCAAGTGACCTACCACTCAGAATCAATTTTATCTCTCCTTACGTTTTTCTTTATTTTTGTATTATCTCTTTATTTTACATCCTGACCACGGTCCCCGCCCCGCCTCCTCTTATCCCCCCCCCCACACACACACACCCACACACCCACAATCAACTCCTCCTCAGTTTCTCTTCAGAAGAGGCCAGGCCAGCCCCGGCATATCCAGTTGCGGTAACACAAGGCACATCCTCTCCTGCTAAGGCTAGACAAGGCAGCCCGGTGGGAGGAGAGGGTCCCAAAGGCAGGTGACAGAGCTGGAGATGGCCCTTGGATCCACTGTTAGGATTTTCCCATGAAGACCAGTCTGCACAACTGTTACATACGTACAGAGGGCCTAGGTGAGCCCCAGGCACGCTCCCTGTTTGGCAGTTCAGCAGTTCAGGCTCTGTGAGCCCCTATCAGCCAGGTTATTTGATTTTGTGGTTTTATTTCTACTTACGACTTATAATGATTCCTCGACATTTTAACTAACTACAATTTTTAAGAGTTAATCTTGACATGTTTTGATAAAGGCACTTCTAGAGTAAGTTATATTGTCTACAGAGACTTTTATGCTTACAGTTTGTTCGATGTTGATAAAAAAAATTAAAAGAGATTGATCTATAGGCTGGAAAATTAAGTTCTAACCAGTGATGTAGCCAAGAGTACTGATAGCATGTACTCAAATTCTTAAATTCAGTTCTGTGGCTAAGCCTTCTTTCCCTTTCTTGATCTTTAAACAAAACAAAACAAACAAAACCTCAGGCCCCATGAAGCAGTTTTCTGTTGCTCCTGCATCAAATTATCCTGCACTCACTGGCTTGACAGAGCCCATGACGGTTGTCTTAGAGTCCTGGAAGTCAGGAGCCTGAAACCGGGTCCCAGGAGGAAGCACGGGCCGAACCGCATTCCCTCTGGAAGCTCCGGAAAGGAACTCAGTCTGTGTGCTTTCCAGCCTCCAGGCCCCTCCCGGCTCTCGGCCCCCAGCCAGCCGTAGAGTCAGTCCCAGCCCCTGCTCCGGTCATCAAAGCTCCCACCCCCACTCTGACCCTCTGCCTCCCTCTTTCTAGATAACCCAGAGTACTCTTCCCACTTCCAAGTCCCTACCGCAGTCACACCTGCAGACGCCTTTGCCCTGTAAGGTAAGGCCCTCGTTGGGTTAGAGGCCAGGCTGGTAGGCAGCTCTGGGGGAAGATGGGTCTACCAAACTGCATGTGTGAGCTTCCATAGAGGCTCTTATAAGAACCCTTGTTTAATTAAAATGTAGAAGTTCTATTTTAAGGTAATACTGCCAAACTTTAAAGCAAACAGTCACTTACAATAACTTCAAAACACTATTTTTCATATATAACTTTTAAACTGGTTTAATTTATCAACCTCTAGCATCATATTTTATTAGTGTTTAATTGTTTATTTTTTTCTCATGAATTCCTACTTTTCCATTTCTCTACTATAACAGTATAATGATTTATTCAATCTAACTATAATACTTTCCTTTTGAATAAATAAAAGAATTTAACTATCTACTTTTATTATATAAGCAAACATATTTAAGTTTATTTTTATCCACCTATCCACAGTAAAATAAATGAAGTATTTAAAGTCTTTGTTTCATAAAAAAATGTATTTTAAGGTTCAATAATAACTCTTATTTATATGCTAGAAGAAAACTGAGCCATCATTTCTTTTAGCTATTCAAAAGAAACAAGAATAGAAATGACTTCAAGTTTCTCTATTCAGATTTCTTTATTTTGGTTTTGGCTGTTGTTTTTTTTTTTTTTTTTTTTTTTTTTTTTTTTTTTTTTTTTGATAGCGGTAGGGCAAAGTGAACTCCAAATATTTACACATAAACGTGTTAGGGGTTTGGCTTTAAGAGAAAAATTGACAGCATGCCGTATCAGTGACAGAAAGAAACTCTCGAACACGAACTGTTGGGCAACTTGGGATTACACAGCATTAGTTTCAGAACCTTGGTGCCCACCAAGAGCTCTGTTCTTAGCAACGCTTACTGAAGTCAAATTGGTTGCTCTACACAAACCACAAAGGCCTGCATCTGGAAATAAGAGGAAACATATGTTCAGAATTCATATCTTTAAGAAACTCACAGTCTTGATGAATGTGGAGCAGGCATACATGTAGGCAGAAAGCAGTCCAGTTTCCAGCACATACGTGGTAGTTTACACACCTGTAATTCCCAAGGGCCCAACACTCTCTTGACCTCTGCTGGCACAGGGCATGCTTGTGGGGCACATATATACATGGAAACAGGCAAGGCACACAAAGGAAAAAATATATATATGAAGAAAGAAAGAAAGAAAGAAAGAAAGAAAGAAAGAAAGAAAGAAAG